GAGCCATCCGCACTTTTAAAGATATGTCGTATAAGAGGAAGACACCATCGTTGTAAGCGCTTTCCTGAATGGTGTCTTGGTCGAGCGTGGCGTAAATCACTGGGAAAAAGCTTATCTTATTGGTCGTCAGGGGTTTCACGGCAGAGCGCATGTGCTCCTTGACCTTGCTCCACGGGACCTTGTCTTTCACAAACTTGCATTGGACACAGGCAACCACGAGCTTGCCTTCCGCATCATTCAGCCGCCATGGCGTGAGATACTCCACGCCTTCTACGAACTGCTTCTGCGAGACTACGATTTTGCCTTTCTTCAGCAAGTCGATGACGAAATCCATGTCGCTAAAGTCCGTCACAAACTCTACCAGACTGCCCGCATTTGTCGGGAGCGCTCCCACCAGAGACAGCGTTTTGAACTTGTCTCCGATGTAGTTAGTGACATAGAACTTTCTCAACTCAATGGGTTTGCCAGCAAGTGCAACGCGAAGCACCGCCTCATAGTGGAACATGAGCCCTTCCATCCGCTTCTCTGAACCTTCTGCAAGTTCGGCATCGAACTCGTAGGCATGGCAAACGTGCATAGCGAGGCATGAGGACTTTTTGTTCTTCTGTGCCCGCCAGCTCAGAATGAGAGGATGGAGGAAGCTTGCCGTTTCCTTGCCAAGACCTGTCTTTACACGAACCAGCAAGCCGGCACGGTCGAGGGCAGTCTCGTTCATCTGCTTCAGCGGACTGAACCATTGCATCAGCATGCTTTCTTCAAGTTTGTATTCCATGCCATCGAACTTGCACTCGTTGATAATTTGCTGTCGAGCTCGGTCGAAAGCGGTTGTGGTCTGAGGTGGCGACTTGCACAAGTCCTCAACCACCTTCAAGCCCTCGAAGAGACAACGGGGATGACCAGAGCAGGACAGCAACAACTGATGAATACCAGCGTGCTTGCGCGCCGCTTCTGCCCATGCTCTGAAGTCGGGGTTCGTTCTCCAGATGTCAATGGCCAAAGCAACCAAAGGTGTTCCATCAATCTTGCGACCACTCTGGTCAGTTGCCCCGCGCTCCAACATCTCTTCAAGAAGATGCGAGAAGACAAAAACGAGTTTGCCCTTTCGCTTGTCCATGCACCGCATCAAGGATTGAAGAAGTGGCACAACCACTGGTTCTTTTTCATACGCATCAAGCAGACCAAGCTCATCGATGAAAACGACCAGTCGCTCGTCGCTGCTTGCGGACACGAGCTTCCGAACTATGCCGAGGCATTCGTCGAAATTGCATGTCATGGCCAGCTCTTTGGGCAAGTCGCAGGCAGTGAGGACTGCATGACCAAGCGCTTCGTCATGACGGTTCCCTGCCGCAATCGAGTCGTGAAATCTGTCCTTCAGCTCACCATGTCGATTGAAGGTGAAATACACAGCCTTGGTGCTCGACAGGTTCTCCACAGCCTGCAAGGAATTCAATAGCAACTGGGTCTTCCCGATGCCTTTCATTCCAGACGTGCCCAGCAGGTTAAATAGGCCATCCTTGTTGGCAAACTTGAACGGATTGGCGATGTAACTCTGAACCTGCTCCAATTCTTTCTCTCTGTTGAAAAGGGGACTGACATCTGGGTTCTCTGGCAAGCGCCACTCCTTGCCCTTAATCTTCTGGTCGATGACGTCCTCCGTGATCTTGGCCTCGCAACACAAGAACGCACACCCTAAAACACCCAAAAACTTAAGCACACAGCCCACCAAGGAACAAATACCTAGGCGAACTAATTAACTGGGGAAAATCGGGGTATTTTGGACCCTGTTGCGCCTCGGATGGCTGCGACTGCTTCTGCAGGAGCAACTCTTTGTCCTTCTGCGCATTCTGCATAGCCTTCTGTAGGAACTCTATGCGTTGTTGGTCTCGCTGTTGGGGGTCTTTCTCCAATTCCTCCTCCAATTTTTGCCCGGCAGTATTGTATTTTGCCTTTGCCTCCGCAAACTCGGCTGTCCAATCCGGCTCGACCACCTTTGCTCTTTTGGCAGGTGGTTCGCCAGAAGGGGTTGCTTCTGCCATGTCGAAGCAAAAAGCGCGGACTTTTTCTTGCTACACGTCTCATGACAGGTATGATACATGCAGTTCATGACCATGTGTGTGTGCGCATGTGGAAAAATGAAAGCCTGTTGGTCTTGAGCGAACCTCAGCATGATGGCGGTTCTGACGTTGCGCAACCTTATTCCTATTATGGATATTTTATTAGAGATGACCATTTCCATTTTCTACGGTTGGGGATTTCGGGTTGGGGAATATGGT